TTATACTCCATGTTCTCTCCCCGTGGAAAAGAAGCGATTTACGTGCGTGCTTGATGGCAGATTCTTCTTCCGGCGTGATATTTGTCATAGTTCTCGCCCAAGAAATTGCACTGTTCAGGAGATCTTCCGACTGAATTGATGGGTAAAACTCGTTGACATCGAAGGAAAGGAAGGAGTAGTCACACTTGTTTTTAATTCCTTGGAACCATTTTAGAACAGATTGGGTGTTCTTTCACTCGTTTACATGGATGGTGGATCTTATTTCATCACTTATTCTATCTAAAACAACTTTGCTAACCTTTCCGAGCTCGTTCTTTGATGGATTCAGGAGGCGGCATTTAGGATTATTGTCAAAGTTCTCCTTATGATCTTTAAGCGTTACGAACGCGTCAGCGTAAACCGTTGTAATTTATTGCGAGATAATTAGCATCAATCGCCTGATGATCGTACGCTGTACGTGAAACACTGTGTAGCGATGAAATAAAATTATATATATATATATATATATATATATATATATATATATATATATATATATATATATATATATATATATATATATATATAATTATATATTTATTTAGTAATTAATATAATTATATATTTATTTAGTAATTAATATGAAATACACACTCGAGAACATTTTCAACTTATCATGTTACGGAATGAACAATAACACAACATAACGCTTGCAGAACTAGTATATGGAGGATATTAAACGGTTGCGAAGTGATATGTGGATTTCATGTTCGAGTGGCAAAAACAATAATATTATTTTGACACGAGAACATAAATCCATATCTTCTTGCAACCGGCGTTTAATGTTCTGTTTATTATATGGACTTATTCAGAGCGACAAAATACACACAAGAAGACATGTAAATAAGCACGCGAAAGACCAATATAAAAGCGATATTTTTTAAAAACTATAATATATTTTACTTATCTCAAGATAGACGTCTTTTAAGTAAACTGTCTGTATCAGTGTAGGTAGTACCAAAGTGAAAATGCTGTGCTGAGTGGTTATATTACTACCTTAAAAAATAAGCTGAAACTCGACGTTTCGAGCGAAGGCCCTTCGTCAAGAGTTAGTGGACTAATTTTTACGTCTTTTAAATGTTTTCGTTTCATTTCCAACGTTAATTTCGTTTTAAATGGAAAGACCATTTGTATGTAACTAGCAGGGGAGAAATACGGAAAATACGCGCACCTGGTCCCGGATGTAGTGAAGTATGAGTTCTACGAGTGTTTTAGTTTCCAGTGAAACACCATTGTCCATGTAATAAATATATTTTAAAAATACATGAATAATTCACGAGGAAAATACAAAAGAAATTAATATTTAATCAATGTTTGTAAATCGGATAAAGATTTGTCCTGATTCACATAAACTTTAGCTTTGATTTTCTCGGCTTAGATAATGTTTATTTTTAAAATTACTTCGCCAATGAACTCATAAGATGGGTCATTTTTTAAGTACGGTAAAATATTCGCATCTGATCTGTATCTGATATACAAACTCTCGCCTTCGGCTCTAGTTTGTATATCATGCAGATACAGATCGGCTGCTCATGTTTTATCTAATATTATACCTCAAATTCAAATTGTCCAATGAAAAAACAGCATTTGTACCACGTGATAATGTGATTTTTTACGGTATTTCACTCAAATTCATGATTTCGCAATCCAGCGTGGGATACTATAATATCCCACGGCAGATCCACCGTGGGATATTATAGTATCCCACGCGCACGCGTGACGCGTGGACACCACGCTCTGAAACAATATGGCGTTCGCGAGCTGTTGTTTGTAATTTCGTATTTTCGTACACAATATTTGATTTAACAAAACATTTTCAAGACGCATTTACCTTTAATGATCCAAAGGATACATGCTTAAATATTTAAAGAGGAAACATCAAAAGAAATTAAAAATTGTATTCGCGTAGTTTAATAATATTCAGCAAGTTTAAAGTTTATTCTAAACTTAGTAAGTTCTTTTATAACTTTCGGTATAATATATCATTTTATTATTATTATTATTATTATTTAAAAATATTTTAAAACGGTAGCTCTTCAGGGCTCGTAGGCACCTGTTTTTCAAGAGGCCGTTTATTACAGTATTTAAAAGCTATATAAATATAATAACACAAATATACACACAAAAACAGAGAAAACATAACGAACTTAATAATTGCATGCATACATTTGTATCTAAAAATATCCTATCCTATTTAAATATTTACAAAGTTACCAAAAGGAATCAAGTACCGTCAAGAATACGTTTAAATTTGTTAAGGCTAATGCCTTTTTCTTTTGCTGTAGTTGATAAGTCATTCCAAAGGGATGCAGCTGAATAACTGAAGCTCTTTTTCATAAAATTTGTTTCAGGTTTTCCAAGATCATAGTTGTTATTGTTACTTCTTAAGTCATATCTGTCATTTATTTTATAGACCCTCCGCTCGGGGGATTCGGCGTAATATTTCCCTCAGTGATGATTTTTCCTCGGGGCAAAGCCCCTCGGAAAATATCATCACTTCGGGAAATATTAGGCCGAATCCCCCGAGCAGAGGGTCTATAAATGATAAGTAGCCTACACATAATTAGGCTAATTAAAGTTCTCCGGATTGAAAAGTACTTTTAATACTAGAAAGTTACTATCACAAGGAAAGTGCTGCCTCACCCCCAAGGGATCGAAGGCTGCATGTGCAATTTGCTGAATAGGGGGCTGTTTTATATATGATCCCGCTTTGCCATAAAGAGATGTGAGGCGGGGTTAT